GGGGGTGTCAGGTGTCCTGGCACTGACTACAGGAATTGTGGTACAACAGAAAGTCAAAACACACACTGTAGGCAAGTGCACTGTATGAGTCCTTTTTGCAAATTATTCAAGTTAAAGGAATGTTTCATGTTAAATACAACTCAGTTCGTAAAAAAAACATTAACAGTGTACTTTATACTCCAATATACAGCAAATATTCCAACGCTATCTCACTGCCAATTCGTGCATATTTTTCGAGGTGGCTAATTCGTACGAATTCGTAAGACCTCACTCATACAATTGTCTGTAATGGTTAAGTTTAGGGGCGGGGTGGGGTGTAGTCCTTCGTACGAATTCCTACAAATTTGCCACCACGTAAAATAAATAAAATTTTTCACAAATTCGTAAAAATTTGCCACCTTGTCAAATATTTGTTGTGAGATCGGGTTGAATATTCACCAATTCAACAACAGACTTCCATTTTTAAGTGGATTTCAGTCGACACATTTTATGGGTTTGATTTTAAAATTGAGACAAGTTTTTATGAAGCTTATCTTGTATTTAACCTGAAACATTCCGTTACTTTGGTTAATTTTAAGAGTACTAGATGAAAACGAACATTTACAAACAATGTACCCTAGTATAAAGGTATACATTTAAAATGAAATTAAGTGTGCATGCTAAGGATTGAACTGAACGTGGCTCCTGACCTTGTTATCTCAGGTATGAAAAGCCAAAGTGACAGCAATGGTAATGGACTTGAAACCTTATTTTCTTTTTAGTAAAAATAATTATCTCTATCTGTTTGGACACATTAGTATTGAGTCTGTAAATTCATTATGACCATTTCATTGCACATTCTCAAAGTCCCAACATTTTAAGCAAAGAGAAGCCACCGGTTAAATATACAGGTACACAGATAACTTTTAATAAATACAACTGAGAGTAGCCAATACCTTTACAACATTTGTTAACACCAGTCTAGAAAAATTAACTAGAATAATCAAGACTCACAATGGAGAGAAAATATATAAAAACTTGAAAATTCTTAAGAACTAGCAGAAATATTTATGTTTGAAGGTGAATAATCACCTATAAATTCATGAATCTACTCACCCTTCTTTTTGAAGATTGACAACAGAAAAAGAACGTTTTTACTAATGAAGACCACCATGTCTATCGTGAGATAACAGTCCAGGCAGAGAGCATTGTAGTTTGAAAGTGTCTTTTATTTGAATGATAAGAGAGAAACTCTTTCACCAAGCAGCATCATGACTAACTCTCCACTTCTTCGGCTGCAGACTAACTGATGTCAACTAGCTGTCTCCCGTGAAGGATAATCAGGTCGGACACAATGAGATCTGCTGTGTGCCACCAATCCTCCAGCTGCCCTGATCATTACCACCCCTCTTCATCTCCCCGCACCCCTTGCCCCGGCTTTTGTCAGCATCTTACTGAGTGGTGTCCCCCAAAGTGTTGGCTGGTTTCCTCCATTGTGGACTGAATTTGGGATTCGCCTTGACAAGGGAGCCTGGCTAATCTGCCACCCTTAAAATCTGATTGGAAACATGCCAAACTCAGATTAAAGCATCTGCTCCATGATTTGACCCATAGTAAACATCATAAATAGTAAAAGGAATAGACTTCTTGATATATGTTGACTAGTATTGTTTGATATACAGTGAGCGGCAGTTGTGTGGACGAAAATGCCTTGTTGATGTCAGAGGTCAGAGGAGAACGGGCAGACTGGTTAGAGATGACATTGTCAATATGGACCAAAATCTCTGAGGAATGTTTCCAAAACCTTGTTGAATCTATGCCACGAAGAATTAAGGCAGTTCTGAAGGCAAAAGGGGGTCCGACCCGGTACTAGCAAGGTGTACCTAATAAAGTGGCCAGTGAGTGTATGTTGACTAGTATTGGTGTGTTACATGAACTAATGAGCAAAGCTGATGATCCCTGTGATTCAAATTGCAAAGGCCTTGTGTTTTAGCAGGTATGATGATCATTATTTGAACGTTGTTTACCCAAAACGGAAATTTCTGCTGCTCATTTTCAAAATTCAGTTACTCAAACTGTTCTAACCTGTAAAGCACTAAAGGAGATGTTCTGAAAAAAGTTCATTCTGCTTTTCTCCATACAATGAAAGTATAGTAAAGCTCCAAAAAGATGGTGAAAAACATAAAAATATCATAAAAATCCATGACTCATGCACTATTTTGCAAGACTTTTGAAGCCATGTGATAGCATTCTGATATTTGAAACTTCCATTTTATGGAAAAGAACTGTTCTCAGATTGTTTGTATATTTGTCTTATGCACATAGTTTATTTATCATGGTGTTCTAACTACATATCTTGGAAGTTATTTATTAGTTTCTTAAAAACACAATGCAAAGAGAGGTTTCATTACAGCTTTAAGTATCAGAGAAGAGATAAGCAAGAACAGCAGATGTCAGAAACCATTTTAATTGATTATTTCAGGTTTAGAGTAACATAGCTACTACTTGGTATGTTTCGTATACCTCTGCAGGGGTTGCAGCAGTGTTTTATCATTAAACCATTTATCAGACGTCCCATGTCTGCACTCGCTTCACAGTCACTGGTTTTGGCGCTGAATAGAGACTCAAGTGCAGTTGGCTTAGAATTATGGGCGTTACTTCAAACCGAGATAGAAAGGTCACTATTTCGGCTGGCAAACTTTCCATTCTTAGCTTTGAACAGAGATTCACCACATCTGCATGTATGAATCATATCTCCACTCTCTGAGATGTTTGAGAGGTGAGCTATTATGTTTCTAAGCAGTTGATTATTTTGGAATCTTTTTCTTTTTTCAGTCTGTCATTCAGATTGCACTCAGTCTACCAACTGCCTGTTGTTCAATTCCAGAAATCCCATTAATATTTATCAGGAGAGCCAAAAGACACCATCTGGCACATGGTGTGAGATGAGGGTTGATGCATGCCTTTAAACCACCACCAGACCCTTGAGTTTCTTTACACTGAAGCTTTTGTATTCCTATGCACAGGAAACAAATGATACATAGGCCATTTAATGGTAAATTACAGAAGCATAACCTAAACAATCAGTTGACTTGGCTATTAGCTACTAGGTTTACATAAGCAAAATTAATTTTTAGCATTATTATTTTTTAGAATTTTTTTTTGTTTAGCTTTTATTTATTTTTATTTAGTTTTAGTTTTAGTTGCTAAAGCAAATTATTTTTTAAGTTTTAAGTTTAAGTTTTTATCTAATATTTTATTTTACAATTTTTAAAAAAAATTTTTATTTAATATTTATATTATATTTTTATTGATCTTTAATTTTTTTTTTTTTTTAATAAAATAAAAATAATGTTCCATAAAGTCCACCAGGTGGTGGTACAGGATGTCTCTGTTGTCTGTTGCAATGTGATAGATCTGATTCACTAATGAACATCTCCTAAAGTTTCCAAAACATGCCCAGATCCACTTCGTGCAGAATAGTAGAACTGACAGAGACGAGAGCTGAAACTGGGAATATATTCCTAAATATACAGTGGGTACGGAAAGTATTCAGACCCCCTTAAATTTTTCACTCTTTGTTATATTGCAGCCATTTGCTAAAATCATTTAAGTTAATTTTTTTTCCTCATTAATGTACACACAGCACTCCATATTGACAGAAAAACACAGAATTGTTTACATTTTTGCAGATTTATTAAAAAAGAAAAACTGAAATTTCACATGGTCCTAAGTATTCAGACCCTTTGCTCAGTATTTAGTAGTAGCACCCTTTTGATCTAATACAGCCGTGAGTCTTTTTGGGAAAGATGCAACAAGTTTTTCACACCTGGATTTGGGGATCCTCTGCCATTCCTCCTTGCAGATCCTCTCCAGTTCTGTCAGGTTGGATGGTAAACGTTGGTGTACAGCCATTTTTAGGTCTCTCCAGAGATGCTCAATTGGGTTTAAGTCAGGGCTCTGGCTGGGCCATTCCTAATCAAGTCCAATCAGTATAATCCAACACAGCTGGACTCAAATGAAGGTGTAGAACGATCTCAAGGATGATCAGAAGAAATGGACAGCACCTGAGTTAAATATATGAGTGTCGCAGCAAAGGGTCTGAATGCTTAGGACCATGTGATATTTCAGTTTTTCTTTTTTAATAAATCTGCAAAAATGTCAACAATTCTGTGTTTTTCTGTCAATATGGGGTGCTGTGTGTACATTAATGAGGAAAAAAAATTAACTTAAATGATTTTAGCAAATGGCTGCAATATAACAAAGAGTGAAAAATTTAAGGGGGTCTGTATACTTTCCGTACCCACAGTATATATATATATATAGTCAAACCAAAATTTATTCAGACACCTTCAACATTTCTCACATTATATTACAGTTTATTCGCTATAGTTTAGAAAATACATATAAACTGAAAGTTTTTGTGTCTGTATGCGAGTTTGTGTTTATATATAGGTGCACATGCATATTGTACTATAGCCTGTAGGTCTGAGAACAATGAAAATTTGAAACTACAATATACTTTAAATATTTCTATCCACCACCCACTGAGACTATGTGCTTATACAGTAGTTACTTATAAACGTGGGATCATTTTGTCCTGGGGCTTTCAAAGGAGGGCGTACTCTTTAACATCTGACTTAATCTGGGATAAACACCAATAGAAGGTTAATGTACCTTGCAGCTGTTTTAGCGTTTATTTTCCAAATTTTTCCATGACTGCTTTTGTGTTTGATCACAGGTAAGCTTCAACCAAACAATGCACGTTAGCCATGTGAAATCTTCCATAAAAGTTGTATAAATGTCTAGAAATTGGCATTCTTTGTTACTATTATACAGTCACAGAATTACAGTAGTTTGACTTTTGCCAACAAGTGCGTCAATTGTTGACATTTATTTCATTATATGCTATAGTTGGTTAAGCGTGACTAACAGAGCCCTGCCCCAGATATCAGACCCAAATCTCCCATTCTGACAATGGTTTGCTTTCATAAAACTGCCTCCTCTGTGTTGTTTTCAAGGAATCCGACTAAACGACTGGAGGAGATGATACTGATGTGCTAGGGCGTCTTCTCAATGTCTCAGGAGATGATGAGGCGTTTTTCCTCAGCTCTGCTCCCCTCCCCTCCTGATCATCTGGTTAATTTTAGAGCGCCCTGCTGTGCACCACCTCAAGTCATTAGTGCCAGGAAGTCAAAGACATGTTTATTTTCTTGGCTGTGATGAAGTTTGCATCTATCAGTGTTTACAAGTCCCTTGAAGCATCTATAAATCTTATGTACAAAAAAACGCTGTGTGAAGTAATCCTTTCCCCCTGCCTGAAAGCTTCATCAATACTTACTAATAATAGCATGAGGGGTTGAGAAGCATGCAGGGTTTATTCTGCAGGCGTTACGATGTTTTAGGATGTCTCTCATTCTATCAGACACACAGTCTTCCATACTAAATTTACAATAGCCACAGAAGTTAATAGACAATTAAAGCGTGCTTAAAACGTATGAATATGTCACTGCAATAGATAGCAAAATAGCAAATCAAGTGGCTTTTGTTTTAAAGAAATGCAGCACAAGAACTCCTTTCAAGCAAAGTATTTAATAAAAAGATTGGGACGCCATGATTTTTGGAAAAAAAAAAAAAGGTCACCCAAGACTCTAATATACACACTGATGCATGGGTTATTTGAGTGTGTAGTGTAAGTGGCAAATTAATATGTTTATATATTCCTAATAAGATATTGAATATTTGATTTCAGGAAATCTATTTAGTGTATATTGCTCTCATCCCAAACAACATCAGTCTAATTTTCATGATGCAAATGTCTACAAAAGAAAATGGAGCCCCTCCTCCAGACTAAGGTCATACTGTATGTTGAATGTTATTACCAATAAAAGTGTTACAGTGAAATATATAGTGATTCGTATGTTGCATTCCATCTGCTTTGTATTCTACTATCATCATAACAGAGGTCATACAAGGTCGCTTGGTGCTAACAAGCAGCTGCATGCCACTAATATAGGAAAAACAGCAGCTTTTCTGTTATGGTGTTCCTGACGTTTTAAAAGTTGTAAGCTTCTAAGGGCCTTTTTTAGGGCCTTTTTCTTGACTTTCTCAGTTTGTTAATCCACATGGGGTTCAGAGTATAATATTTTATCCACAGCAATTTCACACTTGTCTAGAACAAATATGACGCTTTGTTTCATAATTACAATGTATACGTTTCTCTTTATTTACCCTCAAAAAAAGGAAGTGAAATGTGACAACATGCCCCGTAGGTGGGGTACATTGTAACATCTGAGGGGCACGTTGTCACATGACCATATGACAGTTAAAAATGTTATCTGTATATAGTTTATATATAGCAACTAGTAAATACCATCAATTTTGTTATGCTAGCATGTGTGGAAATATTAAAACCACGTGTTACAACTAACCCCGTGGTAGTTTGTGCCCCGCGCACCCCTATATATTGCAGGGGGTCAGTGAGGAAACCATCTATTAGAGGTCTGCTACCCGACCCGAGCCCAGATGGGTCCCAAAATACTTTCGGGTTTTGGGTCGGGTTCGGGTTAATGTTTAATGAATAGCTTCAAGTTCGGGTCGGGCTCTGGTTTATAGCTAAACTAAAACTACTCTAAAAAATGCTGGGTTAAAAAGGGACAAACCCAGCTATTGAGTTGTTTTGACCCAACCCAACCGCTGGGTCAAAACAACCCAATAGCTGGGTTTGTCCCTTTTTAACCCAGCGCTGGGTTATATTTAACCCAGCATTTTTTAGAGTGTATATGCAGTAACCTACGCTGCTTTCATAGACATTATTGCACACGACAACACAGCACGGTAACTTTTATTAGTAAAATAGCTTCGACAGGCTACTGACTCGCAACGTTATATTTCTCTGCAATGAGGAATGAGGTTCACACACGCAACTTTCAGCCCCCTCTCTCTCTCCCTCTCCCAGACCTCTACTATCTATACATTTCACTGTAGTTTCCAGCTGAAATGAACACTAGTGGCAGTAAAACACCAACAAATGTTGTTCCTTTTCACACAAATCTTAAATGCATTATTAATTAGATTATTAATAAAGCTTTATTTTCAAATGGTTCCTTGCACAATACTATGTTAGAACCTCAAAACACTTTTACCAAAACGCATGATTTGTAAACTAACATATTTTGACGTTTGCATCACATAACTAGCTCCACATATATGGCCTTTCTGATGTAGTAAACTTGCTTGGAAGCCCACCTGGTACAGCACCGAACTTGCAAATTAGAGTGCTCCGGTACTGTACATATGAGTCCAGTGAAACACAATCACAACACTTGATCAAAGAGCTCAAAGAGCTTTTGTTAGCACTATAAGTTAGGTATAGGGTAAGGATTAGTGATGGTGGTACTTTATTTTCAAACACGGTAGAGCTTTAACCTTTTACCAAAGGGTTCATTAATAAACAAGAAGATGGATTTATTTACTTGACTTGTTAAAAGAACCTTGCAACTATTGTTTTGAAACAGATACTTTATCTCTGTGTATATAGTGGTAAGACCCTGTGGTGCTTAAATGTAGAGTTGACATTAGGCCATGCAAATAAAAGCATCTATTGTTTCTCTTTAAGCAACACCAGTGTTTATGTGAGTGTGTATTGTGCTCATGCTCTTGTTATTTATATCCATTGGATCTCAATCTAGCCACTGTTCTGTCCCTTTATGAGGTTGTGTTATAAAATGAAATAAAAAAATTTAAATAATGTGTTGGGAGGGCTTTTTAAATTAAACACCTGATTAAAATACAATTACAATTTTGTGGCATTTAGTCCATGCTGTAAGCTTTGAATCTATCTATATGCTAGTGCAATATATTTACATTCTTTCGTCATTGTGCTTTCTACCCATAAACATGACCCATTTACATGTCCTTATTCTTAACAATCTCACCCTTTTTTTTTTTTTTTTTTTTTTTTTACTTAGCATGGCTTTTAATGTGTTTGCTTATTAAGACTGGTTTCTCCAGAGTTGAGAGACTATTTGTCAGTTTTTAGTGTTTGTTAGCAGAGTGTGACCCTGAGCAAAGTCTTTCTCTCTCTTTATCACATCTGATCATTCATAATGACAACATCTCCAGGCAACAAGCCATTTCGACCAAAACAATGTCAATTACATTGATTATACTGCACAGATCATTGTGTGGGTCTCACATAATGTATTTTTATTCATTCAGAACTTCAGAAAACATTCTTATAACATGATTTTTATGAAGTGATTTCAATATCCCTGCCAGGGATTTAATCTAGGATCTAAGAGTTGGGAATGCTGTGCAATGCAGCCTGTGGTCAAAACTTCCAAGCGTTTCTAAGAAAGGCAAAGAAAGAGACATAGAAAGGAACCAAAAACATGTAAATATTATAGTGAATATCCTTCCACTGTGGTTAAATCAAACACATGCCGGATACAAGAATTCTGAAAGGGATTTGAGTTCAGTGGTATTTTTATTCTTTAACACCACAGAAGGCTGTTGTGGACAGCGAGGAGAGCCGTCCAAGCCTCAAAGCTCAAGCTCTGTGAGCTACTCATATTCACATAAACTTTCTAACATAGTCTGTGTGCCCTCTGATTTTCAATGCATTTAAATGCTTTTATTATGGCCTAAATGTATAAGTTGCAATCCTATTTTTGTCCAAAAATGTAACAGCTCATAATTAAACCCAGTTATGTGAAAGTATATCCTCATGCCATCCATGCACGTTATATATTCAGAAAAGCCACATTCTCCACATTCAGAAAAACAGGATGCATGACCTGTGCATGGCACTGTGGGTAAAACACGCTTCTTTCCATGATGTAATAGTTACATTAATCAAATTGAGTTCAAAGCAAGCTGGAGATCGCGTTTTACAAAGCAATGTTTCTTCCAAACCTGTCTAACTGTCAGGTTTTTGCCCACGGGGGAGTGTTTTGCAACAACCAAAAAACATTAATTGTTAATAGTTTGGTAACTACTAAAACACAATTATTTTGTTTACTGTCACTAAGCCTGTATAGGGCTTTTACGATACAGTTATTAATTCCTTTCTGTGAACAGTTGTGTTAGATATTATAGCTAAGCACAGGTTCTTACCCCAAGCCTTACGACCATCATTTAACCTTTGACCCCAAAACAGGCCAACTTGTCACATCTTGCTGAAAGTATACTTCAAACAGAAGAAATGTATCCATGGTGCTTATTTGTGCTAAGTTTGTTAAGATATTGAGTGAACCAAGTCAAGAGTCCCCTTGTGAAAAAGAAATACACTTTAGCATACTTTTGAAAAAAAAAGAGTATTTATTATGGAAATAATATACTTTAAAATAATACTTCAGTATGAACTAAAAGTAATCATTTGAGAAACTCAAATTCAGTTGAATGTTAACTTCTTATAAATGAAAATGTACCTTATAGGACTAGTCATTTTTGTAATAATTGTAATTAGAAATGTAACACATATAATTTAAGGTAAAACTTTTCATGTGACATGTATTTAAAAGTGTACTTACACAGAAAAGCACACTTCTTTTTCACAAGGGCACCCACCTCTAAGTTTGTTTTGTTATGTTTTTTTGTTTGATTGCTTAGAAAAGTAATGGCACACATCCCATTAACAAACTGCTGTACATGAGATATCAGTCATGTGTTACATTTTAAAGGGATAGTTCACCCCCAAAAATGAAAATTATGTCATCATTTACTCACCCTCAAGTTGTTTTAAACCTGTATGGGTTTTTCTTCTGTTGAACATTAAAAGAGGATGTGGCTAACCAAACAGTTGCTGGTAGCCATTGACTTCCAAAAAAAAAATCGTTTGGTTAGCTACATTGTTCAAAATATTGCCTTTTATGTTCAATAGAAGAAAGAATTTCATACAGAAGTTTTAAAAAAGGTTTGATAATAATAGTGAATTTTTTCTTAGTCTCAGAGTGAACTCGAGCAGACCCACCGCAGGCAGTACAGCTCAGTTAGGAGATTTAGAGACACTGATGGGTGCGTCTTTACTGCTCTCAGTCCATTAACGGGTCTGTGAGTGCAGGAACCAACATGCTTCAACCAGATGTGCAACAACCCAGTAACCCTGTGTCTTCCTTCTGATATCTGCTATTTGCCACAGTTCCCATCCACTTGAAAACTGAGGTAATGATTTTACTTATGGCTGTTCGGTAACACTTTATTTTAGGGACCAATTCTCACTATTAACTAGTTGGCTATTGCTAGTTGCATATTACTAGCATATTGGGTGTTTATTAGTTCTTATAAAGCACATGTTAATGCCTTATTCTGCATGACCATATTTTTCATCCCTTAATCCCATACCTAAACTTTACAACTACCTTACTAACTATTAATAAGCAGCAAATTAGGAGTTTACTGAGGCAAAAGTCATAGTTAATAATTAGTTAATACTAAGAACTGGTCCCCAATCTTAAGTGTGACCGGCTATTTATTGAATAGAAATTTCAATGATTGTTCTAAATGCTGTCTAGCATACATCAAATTGCATTATTGTTAAGTTTCATCAAATGAAACTCCATCCAGACCAAAATATTTTCCCATTAAAACTGTCAGCAATTTGAACATCCCAGCTTTCATATTTATTTTTAAAGTTAGGAAAATGGAAAACTGTCAGGAATTGGAAAACTATATAGCTGCCTTTTAGGATTGTTCTGATGTGAGGTTGATATGGAGGATATTTGCTACATTAGTTCACTAAATACACTGAAAATGTTATCAGCATTCCATTTGTCAGTTATCATCCATTCCTTTCCTAAAACAAGGCAAACCCTGTTCAATAAGACCACACAAAGACACTTTCACTTGGTTTTGAGATGTTGAAATGACTGCAGACAATAGCAATGGTGGCTTGTAATCAACTGACACTGTCAATCCAGTTTTCCCTCTCAGTTGCTACCAACCTAAATTTGTCACAAGAAGCAGAGGCTGTACATGTGAGTTGCTCATGTCTACTATGTTAGACAGGATGACAGGCAACAA